GAAAGGTTCTGTCAGCTCCCATTGCTGGTCTTTACTGGCAGCGGAAGAAAGGATCCAGCATCAGGGAGAGACTCTGGAGAGAGGCAGCAGAGACTGGCGCAGATGTAGTGTGCTTTTCACTGCGAAATGCAGCTACACCTGCAAGACATGCCACTGCCAATGGTAGGTAGTGTAGACATAGCTATAATGGCAGTGACTGAAACCAAAGTACAGTAACTGCTTGCTTGATGTTCATTGTTACATTGCTTATCTATTAGCGAATCCAGGGGTTCTGTCATCTTCTGCAGGTCTCTGGGTAAGGTGTGGGGATGCGGCTCTGTTGCTCCCAGAAATGGCAGGGCCCTGGAGGGAGGACTAGGGTAGCCAGCCCCCTGTGCCGTCTGGAACACACACAGCAGTCTCTCTTCCCCGAGCCCTCAGAGCCCCCGGAGCAGGCACATCAGGTGGCAATTTTAAGAGTCCGGGGTCAGTTTTCTAAGATTTTCCATCCATGAGCAGAGTGAGTTTCATCTTGTGTCCCAACAATGAGGTCATGTGCACTTGTTCGGATGTGTGCCACCCACTTGTGGTGCTTGGCTCTCCCTCTTCTGTGCAGCTGCTCATGCACTCTGCCTAGGAGCTGCTCCCAAAGCCTCCTGCTTGCGTGCAGGGGGTGAGGTGGGAAGAGGGGTGCTGCTGTCAGGATTTCATCTATCTCCCCAATCAAGTCCCCACACTCTGTACCCTATCTCCACAAAGCACGATACAACGGGGCTCAGAACTATGGAGGGAGCTTGCTGGAAGGAAGTTACTCCTTCTCTGAACTTGCAGGTCTACTTACAATGACAGTGTAGTTGAAGTGGGGTCAGCTTATGTAAAGGGGCAATGTGAGTCTGTGTCTGCCTTTGGAAAGCCAGTGTCTATACAGCTGTGCACACGCCGTCCAGAGGAGAGAGCGGTGTGCTCCTATGGGACACTGTGGCTTCACCATCATGTTCTGCTTCCACTGGGAAGTGTTTGCAGCATGAGTCTATTGCGTTCCCTCCTGTCTCAGTCCATGCTGCCTTGTAGAGTACGAGGCCACATTAACAGCAACGTGTTAACCATGGAGGGCTCAGTTGAGTGCTAGTTCATCATTTAGTAGCTGTCTCAGAGCAGGTCCTTTTGACCATGGCCTCGCGCACGCACCCCCACAAGGGAGTCCGGCTCCCGGGGCAGCCTGTGTCCAAGGAAGGGACTGCCTCAGGCTGCTCCTCATGGGGCTGCTGTGAGTCCCCACCTGGGGCAGTGGGAAGCTGCTGCCAGTACCCACGGTTTGCAGGGAGTGAGGTGCTGGGGGTGGGGCAGCGACATGTGGGGAGTGTGTGGAGGGGTAGACGGTTGGGGGCCGAGGGCTCTGAGGGGCAAAAGAGAGACGTGGGAGGGAGAAGAGCTCCTCACAGGGCTGGCCTGAGAGTCCCCTCCTGGGGAAGAGGGAAGTTGTTGCCAGTGCCTAAGGTTTGCAGGGAGTGAGGTGTTGGAGGTGGGCAGTGACATGTAGGGAGCAGGTGGGCACACAGAGGGTTGGAGGGCAGGGGGCTATAAGGGGCAGGGAGGGGGGAGAAAAAGAGAGGTGCAGGAGGCCCCAAGCCCCAGGAGCAGCCACACAGCAGTCCAGCTCCAGCTTCCTGGGCTGGCTGCATGGCAATCGGGAAGCCACTTTGCAGCCCTGAACACAACACCAGCTCTTCACCATGCAACTCCCGCTTCCTTCCAAGCAGGCCTCTGACGGGCCTGGCCCAAGCAGCGCCCCCCCAGCCAGTCCCAGCCCTCTGAGCAGTCCCAGCATCCCCCCACCATGCAGCAGGTCCCGGCTTCAGTTGCCAGAGCAGGCCCCAATCCATCCCCTCCCACCAAATGGCGGGAAGGTGAGTGCTGCTAAAGGAGGTGGGCAGATGGAGAATTTTTTGTGCACAGCCACGCAGGCGCGCACCTTAGTGGGAGCTATGCCCAGGGCTCTGGCTGTCACTGCTGCTGTAGTATCAGTGGTGATGGCTGGGAGCCCCGAGCCACTTTGAATTGCTGGGCCCAGGGCAACTGCTCCTTTGTATTTCTCCCTCCCCGCTCGGTAGCCCTGACAGTACGTGCTCTTTTAAAGTTGTGCAATGGTCCCTTATAGCATTGTTTGGCTGCCTGCTTTGTGCACTATTCTGCTTTCACTGGGAAGTGTTTGCAGCATGAGTCTATTGCGTTCCCTCCTGTCTCAGTCCATGCTGCCTTGTAGAGTACGAGGCCACATTAACAGCAACGTGTTAACCATGGAGGGCTCAGTTGAGTGCTAGTTCATCATTTAGTAGCTGTCTCAGAGCAGGTCCTTTTGACCATGGCCTCGCGCACGCATTGCCCATTCTGCCACACAAAGGCCCCTCTCAGAAAATGTAGGCTGCTGACACACTCTGAGAAAGCATAACTTGTAAGCGCAAATGCAGCTTTCTGTGAACAGAATTTAACCTTCTAGGCATCTAAGGGAGGTGAGCGTGAAAAGATAGAACACAGCTGCAAGAGATAAATAAGAAACCCAGGAGTTGTTAAGTTGTAAATGGTCCCCCCCACCAATACATGGGCCTCAGATGCCTCCCCCAGTGACTGTGGACCAGCCACCTGCCTTGCCAGTGAGAAATAACCATAGAGGGGCTGGCTGTGAACAGAGTTTTTATTATCACTATATTGTCTTTGTTTCTGTATTTTTTGCGAATTTTTTGTGCACAGCCACGCAGGCGCGCACCTTAGTGGGAGCTATGCCCAGGGCTCTGGCTGTCACTGCTGCTGTAGTATCAGTGGTGATGGCTGGGAGCCCCGAGCCAGTTCAGTTTTCCCCTCCTGTAAAAGCATTATGCAATTGCTTGTTTTAAAATTCATTTAAAAGTCACTTGATTTTTGATAAGAGAACCATTCTGTTTAATAAAAAATCATTTGTTTAACCATCATCTAGTAGTTTTCACTGGGTAGTCAGCTTTAACCCTTGGGGGCTCCCATCACATCACCGAACCAAGTTGCGATAGTAGCAAGACATTCACTGGAAAATATTTCACTTTCTGATTCCACTTCAACCAAGCTTCACAATCATTACTGCTGTGTAAAGAATTAAATTGTTTAAAACATTTACAGTATGTGTATATACAAGCATTTATTTGGTGAAAAAAATTCCTTGGAATGTAAGCACCCACCCCCTATACATTAATTCTTACAGGGAAATTGGATTTGCTTAATATTATTTCATTTAAAGAAGCATTTTTCAGGAACATAATTATAACATCAAGTGAGAAGTTACTGTACATTAGAGACAGTTAAGCACATGCTTGCTATCAGTGCTGGGTTAAGGCATAAGATAACTAAAATAAGAGGGGCCTCTAAAAAAGAGAAAAACTGACTCAATTTAAAATTTTATCAAAATTGGTTGATAAATAAAGATCAAGGAGACATGGTATAAAGAAGATTCTCTTTAAATATAGATCATTTTTTCAAGTATGATAAAATAGACACAAATACCCTTACCCTACCCTTACACTTCACTAATTGTTCAAAATGGAGAGATGAGAGGCCAGGACTGAGGGGAAAATCAGCAATTGCACTTGTAAAATTAGTATTTCTAGGAGTAAGCCTACTATCATTCTCCTAAGACAGCATTTTGTTGTCCAGCTGCTACTGGTAAAATTCTAACTGTGTCTTCATAACTTATTTAAACAAACAAATAAATAATCTCACTGCCAATAAAACTGGGAAAAACGCGAGGTCGGAGATGGCATATCGTGAAACAGTCCTGCAAGCTCATACATTTTAGGAGTGATATCTATAGCACCCCCGCTTGGCTGGTAATCTTTTGTTTATAGTCCAGCATGTTCAGTCATATATATAGTGCCTTTGCTCCCATTTTTCTTCTTTTTCTGAAGTATTAGTGTGGTCTTTTCTCTTCTGATCTGTACATATGTACAATTGTGTATTTTAGTGCACACACTGTGTTCTGCATCATGCACTATCCATGCTTCACATGACTGAGTTAGCAGGTGATCAGCTTACAGACTTGGGTTGAGTGGATCTTGAGCAGGATACATTTGTGTTGACTTCCATTTATCAGTTTCGGGAACCTTCACTGTATTTTCATATTATGGCAAAAGAAAAATCCCAACCGTTCGTTGTTTCATAGCAAAACTTAAATCAGAATAAAGATTTGCAAATATATATATTCTGGATAAACTGTGTATTTCCCTATTGAAATTAATCAAATGTTTTTCATTTATTCATATGAATAGAAGGATAATTTTCCTTATTCATGGTGTAAAAGTTATATATCCTCTCTTGTTCTCCTGTGAGAACATAAAGATTTGGGTTTATATGTTCAATGTCATTTCTGTGAAAATAATAAATTCATTTTTATGGTATGGGCCCTCTACACTTGATGTAGCTTAGGGCCTCAGGATGTCGTAATCAGGCCGTGCTAAATATTACTGTATATAAAAGTGATTAAATTCAGAATCCCAAAAGTTATATCCAGGGAAGATTCCCTCTAACATCATATTAGCCCTGAGAAATGCTGACTCTTTCTAGCAGTGTGTCTTATTATTTAACTGACCAAAGGATCATTGTCAAGCAACAAATCAACACCTCTCATGGGTGTTTCTAAGCCTTCTAAGGTATCTCTCACTGTGGTACCTAAGTATTTACACACTGTGCTGACTTCCTTTTCTGCCTCCTTCCCAAAGCCTGGGAACAAACCTCTGCTGGTGGGTTGCATCTCAAAATCTGCCAGATCTAAAGAAGAGCTCTGTGTAGCTTGAGAGCACATTGTTTTCACCAACAGAAGGAGGTCTAATCGAAGATATGACCTCACCCGCCTTGTGTCTGGGACCAACACAACTACAGTGCTGCAGAGAGGACTCTATTTAGCAGTTAATATCTGAATCTTTCCCTCTCCCTAATCCTGGCACGTGTGGTCTGGAAAAGTTACACAAGTATATTCTTGTGCTATCTGCTCTTTTTCACAGCCTGGTGAAGCTGAAAATGCAGCTGAATGCTGAAGGAAAAATTCCTGTCAGGAAGTGAGTACAGGCATTTACGTCTCATTGTACACTCATGTCGAAAACAGAGCAGGTGGGTGAAGGGATGGGATCTCAGGCTAGCTTTGTCTGCCTTGCTGGGTTTCTGGTCCTTCCCCCAGGAAAAGGGCAAGGGACATCAACCTCATTTGGCTGTCCCTAGAAGGGGTTTAGGCCACAGGGAATACGCCTTGGTTCTGGAGAGCCTACTAGCAGGAGCTACCCTGCTTCTGTGGCAAGAAGAAGCCTGGGATTAGCACTCTGATCTCTATTAGAGATCAACAATCAAGGCTGGTCTGGGTTGTATAAAGCCTTATTTTTGGGGTTTTGTTTTGCAAATGCAAGTCCAAGGCTGGGTAAGATCCAAGTCTCATTTTAGCCACACTCCAAAAGCTTAAGGGCTTTTGGTCTTGGTCCATCTCTAAATGAGCTTTCTGCCTGGCTGGCAGCCGTGCTGGCATGCCTGTGATTTTCACTGTCCTCTGGGAATCCTGAGCTGATTTGTTCTTTAATTGTTTTCCCATTATCTTTGTATAAAATCTTTGGACCTTTTCCCCAGCTTGACACCACTGTATCTCCACTGATTTCTGCAGTTACTCTGGATTTACACCAGAACGAATGAGAGTAGAATCAGGCTTGAGTCCCTATTCCTCCATGGGTCAGTGCTTGTGCTGGTGCAGAAATGGAGGGGATGTGATTTTCACGCTCCTTCTGCAGAGCCTGGTTAGTCCATCTGGTGCACACCAGAGCAGCCATTGCAGCAACGTAGAAATGCTGGGACACAAGACTCCCAGCTACGCCCTGGGACACAAGACTCCCAGCTACGCCCAAGTCCTTCAATTGCTCCCTTACATGTTGCGATAGGCCTTCTCCAGAGGAGCATGGCACAGTCTCTGCCTCTTAGAAAAGGGACTCTGATGCTAGAAATAATCCTGGCAGGTCTGACGACCCCTTCATGCTGGTTTAATTGGTGCAATGCAAAGGGGCTCTAACGCAGGGTTGAATTTCCCTGATGCTATATATATTCTCTTCTATATTAAGAATGAAATTTATATTTCTAGGAAATTTACATTTGCTCTGCCTTCATTTTTGTACCTTGTAATAGCCCCACGAGAGGCAAATGCTAATCAGTATACTAAATATACTGCCTAATCACTTACCAGTAACTATTCCAAGCAGAATTGGTGCCTGCTAACCATATTACTGGGTGGCTAGTTATTCTTCAGTCAAAGATTATTTTTAAAAAAGCTACACCTAGAAATTCAATGTGTCAGAAATCAGCACATTCAAAGGACTCTTTAAAATGTCCAGTCTTTTAATGATTAGCCACACAATACAAGTGTCTCAGCCTTTAAAATACAGCTGGCCAATATTATTGCCATGAGAAAAAAGCTTATTCTTATTTTTAAAAGAGTTTTGAAAACTACCCTGGATGGTGTACATCTCCCATCTGTCTAGTCTGAGCATGGTTAGTCTCTCAAGGGGAGGGGCTGGATAGATCAAAGAGGTGAAAATGCCAGGCTGTCTATAAAACCTCATCTCATAGGGTACGTCTAGACTACAGGCTTTTGTCGACAGAGGCTTTATCAACAGACACTGTCGACAAAGCTTCTGTTGACAAAGAGTGTCTAGGCTACAGCCATTTCGGTCAACAGAGCAAGCTGCTTTGTCGACATGAGAGTGTAGATGCAAAGAACAGTGTAGATGCAATAACACCTTCTGTTGACAGAACTCTGTTGACAAAAGGCCTTATTCCTCATAGAATCAGGTTTACCGCCGTCGACAAAACTGCCGAGTTCTGTCGACATTATGTCGACAGAACTCAGCGGTAGTGTAGATGCAGGTATAGTTTTGTCAACAAAAGTCCACTTTCCCCCAGCCACTAGGGACAGAAGGAGCCAAACTCAGGACTGCCACACGGAGAGGGAAGGGATAGAACCCAGACAGGGCTACCTCTTTCCCCTGGACCCAAAACTGTGTAGGCGAGACCCTCCTCCCCTGACAACTTTGGGTGCTCTAGGACTCATGTGGCCTTGGGGGAGATCTGCAGAGAAGCCAGTCAAAGACCCTCCCACTCCCCCAAAGCAAGGACCCCTCTGTAGTCCAGTCAAACTGTACAGCATTCTCAGACTGTCTCTGCCCTGGCCTGACTGGCTTTTTGCCCCAACATTCTTCCCTCTCCCCCCAGTCCCTTCTCCACAGGTTTATTTCAGACCTGCCTCCTACCCTCTTCCCCCCCAGCCCTGGTCTCTTTCTCCCTGCTTTCTGGTTGTGACAAAGTGGCTCATCAGCCAGCACATTTTCTCATGACTGGGCACTGTGTTGTAGGGCTTTCTCCTCAATTACCCTCCCCCCACTGACCTGCTTACCCATACATCCTTCTGCAGGGTCCTCAGCAGAAACTAAAGTTGGTTTTGGTTGGGGAAACCTCTGAATTGAAGCAGCAGTGGAAATACCTCCTGTAAAATATTAGTTCTCAATCCTCAGGAGTATTTCTGTATTGATATAAATGGGCATTAGGTACCTAAATAACCTTTAAAGGGTTTGTACATAACATCTCTTCATAGGAGTGTGTGTTCTCTTTGTCTCTCTGACCCAGTTTTGCAGTGCACCCTTTTGTCCCTCTCTGTGATTGTAGCTCTCAACTACCCACCCCATCTACTCCCACACATTGTCTAACAGCACCTGCCAACGGCCTCAGCCCCTGCTCTCTCTTACTGCTCTTCCCAAATCGCTCTGTGTCACTTTTGCAGGCTCTAACTGCCCTTTTCTTCCTCAGTATTTTTCAGATGTTTCCTGCAGACAGAAAGAGGGTAGAAGCTGCATTACATGCTTGTCACCTTCCAAAGAGCAAGGTGAGTGACTTCTTAGAATATGTAGAGCTGTCCTTAGCTCCAAGACAATTCCTGCCCTGACCCTGACCTCTACCTCTTGACCATGATGCTGATAGCGCTAAAACAGCACTAAAGAGACAGACATCACAGACCAGCCCTAACTTACTGTGAAACTGTACAGTCGGTACCATGTCGTAGCTTTACCCTGTCCCCACCCATAATGACATCAATTATTATTTCTGTTACAGTGTCACTTAGGGCCCCACTGTCATACACACTGCACAGATTCACGAGATAGTAATTGTCCCCCAAAGGGCTGACAGTTGTCGCGAGAATCACAGGTCCGATGATGCATACCCAAGGGGGGAAGGACAGAACCAGGTGGACCTTTTTAACAAATAAAAGATATGTATTTATGACAGTGATTAATTTATAGTATTTATTCTAAGATTTTTAATAGACCATGTTAATAATGAATTTACAGTATTTATTATATTTATTCTACGATTTCCAGTTAAACGTGTCAGAAATATGGGAATGGCAAGGGGAATAGTCTCTATTCGAAAAATATCCAGCTACACTAATTAAATAACAGTGATGACTACAAATTCTATGTACTACCCAAAACAACTACAGCACTAAGCTTATACAACGAAGAAAATCAAATCATATATACCAACTTACACAGCACATGGAACATTTCAAAGAAATCAGTTTGGATGCAAAGGCCTTGGTTATGCCCGAGAGGCAGGGGAGGTGGCTGGTCGGTTGATCAGGCTGGCAGTGCTTTGGAGTATACTCCACATAATCAGGCCGGCAGCGCTTTGGAGTATACTCCACATGCACAGTGATATGTGTGTTGCGAAGACCTCCTCGAGCAAACTGTGCGATGGGTATTTATCCCCAAATCTGCACATCGCTTTCCCGCGCTTGCATATTACCATATATGGCCCAACGGTCACCAAGTGGGGGGGTCTGTGTCCCAGGGGTTGGGCCGAAACTGTGTAGGTTTCATGCGACCAGGTAGGCCCCGCAGTTCTCATGCCAAGGTGATGTGTAAGAGAGTCTGAGGCTATTGTCCCCTTTTCACACCTTCCCTTTTTCTAAAGGCAATGGTATGCAGGAAGGGTGAGGCTGGTTTCTCCTAAGGAGTACTGCAGCCCACTATAGCAAGAGCGGCCCGGCCAAACTTTTTACTGGGCGGGGGGCAGTTTTTTCTCTAACAACAGTCTCAATAGATAAGGCAGACAAAAGGGGAAACAAGGCACAAAGACTTGTCCGAAATCACTCAGCAAGTCAATAGAGGAAATAGGAATATAGGCCAGACCCCTAGCTATCTACTCAATAACTGTGCCTTCCCAAGAAACACCAGGAACAACTCGCCACTTCCCCCATTGAAATAGCTTTCCGCAAAGCATCACAAACTAATTGCCCTGGTCCTCTAATCTAAGCAATGTCTCTGATGCTCTCTGTGCTAATTCACGCCACCACAAACAGGGCTACTAGAGGTACCACAGAACAGAGTAATAGAAACAACTGGCTTTAATAAAGAAGCGAAGGAGACACGGGTTTGCAATACATGTGAATTGCTATTTCATTTGCAGAATGATGCAATCAATCCAGAGGACTTCCCTGAGAAGGTGTATAAAACCTTTCTGATGAACCTGTGTCCCCGTCCGGAGATCGATGAGATATTCACCTCTCTGTGAGTCTTCCTCGTGCTGCAGGGGCCGGCTTTGTTTCATGAGGGGAAAAGACAGGCAAGCGGGACAGTAAAGGAGGATGGTACAACTGAAGTGAGATGACTGGATTATAGGAAGTGACTTTAATCTCAGTCCTGCTCCTAATGTGCAGGTGTCCAACGTCACAAATAGCACCAATGGAATTGACATGCTTCCTGACAGCCTTAGTAAGGAGGGCAAGGCCTGGCTGGGGGTATGGAGACTGATCTACTATCTTTTTTGCTAGAGCCTTCCATGAATACAAAATTTGTTTCCACAGTTGTATCCCCAAAAATGAGCCGTGGATATCTGCCTCCACATCTGTGGATGTGGAAACCTGTGGATATAAAAAGCAGATAGCCACATTTGTAGGGCTCTGGTCACAGGTCACAGCTGCATCAGGTGGGTGGGAAGCATGCACTCCCAGTTTTGGTGCTTGAACCTGTGCAGTGGACAGCTAAAGAACATTAGACCACAGTTTTCAGAAGTCACCAACAATTGTGGGTCTGTCTGTGTGCAGGCGGACAAATTTGTGAGAATTTAAATGTGTTTGATTTTCAGAGGTGAGTGCTCAGCTCTTCCTAAAAATCAGGCTCCTTTGTAGTGGCTCAAGTTGGGCACCAAAAACCATTGATCACTTCTGAAAACCTTGCCCTCTAATCTGTGTAACCTTTCAGCAGCACTAAACATACCTAGTTCAGAAATAAGATGCAGAGAAGAGGGGAGGGTGCAGCAAGGCTGAGGAGGTGAGAGAGAGCTGGAGCTTTCAAAGAGAGAAAAGGCCTTTTAGGAAATGGTGCGAGTCAAGACAGATGGGTGTGCAGTGCCAGCTGCAGGAAGGGTAAGTCTGAGACTCGCTGCTGTAAGGGGTTTTCCAGTAACACCTAAATACGCTCCTTCTCCCCTTCTTCTCTGCTTTTCTGCCATTAGCCATTCGAAAGCCAAGCCCTACATGACCAAAGAGCACTTGGCAAAGTTTATTAACAAGAAACAGCGAGATTCCCGCCTCAATGACATCCTCTTCCCTCCTGCCAAGCCAGAGCAGGTGCAAGGCCTGATAGAGAAGTACGAACCCAGTGGGATTAACATCCAGAGAGGTGAGTCTTGTTGAGTATGCTGCCTAACTCTCTCTCTAGTGCTGTGGAGACAATGTGGAAGCAGGGATCATCCTCTCACACTGCCCCTTACACTGATACTTACCAGAGTGTCTGGAGCAGCCGGTCTAACTCTTGCAGGCCCCCGTGTTTCAGCATTACTCACCTGTGAGAGTGCCAGCCACTTCCTTTCATACCTGTTAATAGTTTTGTTTTCCCTGCAGGGCAGTTGTCTCCCGAGGGGATGGTCTGGTTCCTTTGTGGTCCTGAAAACAATGTTGTATCACTGGACAAAGTAGTGCTGTACCAGGACATGACCCAGCCACTCTCACATTACTTCATCAACTCATCACACAACACCTACTTGACAGGTATCTGTGTTCTGGTTGAAACACCAATGCTGGGGATATTCTCCTAGTTTCAAATCAGGAGTGTTGCACCAAGTGCGTGTACTGACATTGGAGATGGGTTTTGTCCCATGTGCCACGTATGCTGGCAGCAGCTGGGTAGTTTGTAAGGAATCAATACATTGGTAAGAATTTGAAAGGAAAAAGCATAGCTTCTTGGTAGAAAAGGCAGGGCTCAGTGATGCCAGGCAAGGCAAAAGGACTAGGGAGATCAGCCTAAACATTCGAGCCAATGAGTCACAGTCTCCTTGTATCTGATGGATTCTTTTTTTGGAATGACCTGTCAGCAGAGTGTGATAGGGTGTGTATAACATTTGCCATGCAGAAAGAGTGAGCAACTCTTTGCCCGCAAGCACATAAACATGGTCTTGTCCCATCTCCATGGCAGTGAAAGATTATGGCTTTACTTCATCTGACTATATAGACAGGCATGGTTCCTTTGAATGTAGAGACAGATTCATGTCTCTCTTATAAGGATGTGAATGTTTAACTGGTTAATCAGTAAACCTCACCCATACTGGGCGAGGCTTACCAGTTAAGACTAACCGTTGCAGACTCGGGAAGAGGGTTGCACCAGCCTTGCGGGAGGCCTGTCACAGTCAGGGGTTGCTCTGGCCTCTGCAGCTTCTTTCCACAGCGGGCCCAGGTGCCCTGCCTTTGGTGGTGTGGCTGCTCCAGCCAGAGGCAGGCGGGGGGCACTAAGTGCTCCCCCTGCCCCTCCCTTTAATTGATTAAGCAGTTTAACAATATGTTTAACCAATTAAACAGGATTTTACATCCCTACTCTCTTAAATGACTGGCCAAGTGTCTCTCTCAAGAGTCCCAAGGCTGAGCAGATGTGTGCCACTCTGTGTCTATCCCTGGGTAGATCATTACCCGACAAGATGATTGGGCAGGTGCATATGCTCTAAGATTTCAAGGAGAAGCAACCAAGTGCCCTTCCCAAGCAGCTGGGCTGGTGTATAATCCCATAGATTTGAAGGCAGGTCCGTACCCTTCCTGAGAGTTGAGCAGGTGTAAATCCCTCAGGAATTCAAGAGCAGGTAGTTGTGTGTCTCTCCCAACTGATGGTCAGGTATCTCCCCTGGGGACTGAGAGTAAGTGGATACCATCACTCCTCATTCCCCAGCTGCAAAAAGTAAGCTGGTTGGTATAAGCCATGCTTTGCAGGAGGAAGAAGTGTTAGGTAGGGCTCCACTGCCCACTTACCTAAAATCTTTCTGTGGGCTAAAGTGCATGCTTGCGCTGGGTGTGCTCAGAGCTCTATTCCTCCTTCTTATTTGTGCCCATGAAGACTGCACTCACATAGCAAACTAGTCTCTTCTTCTCTTGCCCCTCTCCAGCTGGCCAGTTTTCTGGCATCTCTTCTCCTGAAATGTATCGTCAGACCCTGCTGGCTGGCTGCCGTTGTGTAGAGCTGGACTGCTGGAAGGGTCGTCCCCCAGATGAAGAGCCCATCATCACCCATGGATTCACCATGACAACTGAGATTCTCTTCAAGGTAGAGGATTGTCTCCACCGATTATTTGTCCTGATTTTCTACTGAATTCTGTCTCCTCTGGACTAAATGGATGAAATACCAGAGAGATGGGCTGGGTGTATGGCTAGGTGAGCTCTATTCAACAGGAGAGCCCAATGTGTACGTTAATTGGGGGAAAGTAGGTAGATGGGGGAGAGTGGTGGGGCTGGCATATGGATGAGTCTAAATAAATTAGGTGAAATTCTTGTGAACAGTCATCTAGAGAGACGAAAAGGTGGTTGGGTGGACAGAAAGGTGTATGGTTGAGTGGATGAGTGCCTACGGGCTGGAAGGGTGTGTAGGTGGATGGATGAGTGAGTAAATGAAGAGCTGTGTGAGTTCAGACACACAGCAAGCACCAGGCATCTTTTCAGAAGACCAGGAGGTTGAAGAGAGAGACTTGCTATCTTCTGCAGGTTGATGTCTACAGCAGGTTTGTAATGTTCAATATTGGCACCGTGGGGGTTATTCCTTTTAACCTGTCCATGCCATGGGACCATATGATATGCCTCCAGCATAGTACCAGCCATCTGGGATGTTGTTCATACAGCTTCCCTCACTGTTCACCTCAAAGGCTCCACAGGGAAAGGAGCCAGCCCCAGGGTCACACACCATTGTGTAGTTAACTTGCTCTTTGCTCTAGAGGATTTTGTTTTAGTGCATGTAATGACATATATTACAAAAACCCACACATGTTAAAAAATCGCAAGACTATACTCACTTCCCAGAGCTCAGATCCCACCAGCCAGAAGCCACATTTTAATAGCTCCCTTGTGCGTTCTCTGTGTCCCCCACCCCCAATTCTCCCAATTCATTATTACCAAGCCATATGAAAAAACAAACCCTTTCTCCTGTAGTGCACAGGTTCTTTGAGCTGCCTATAATATTCGGTGTTGGTAATTTCCCTAGCTAGCTCTTTTGGTAGCATGGTTGCTTTTGCATAGCAGTTCACTGTAGATAAGGCAAATCATACCACAACTGTGTATTACGGAAGCTATAATTGCACTGAGGGGTTCTGCTAAACCATGTGAAACTATTCCTCAGGATGGAATTATAGCCTGTTAACTCAGCATGAGCCATGTTTTTAGTTTATATAATACATAGATCCTCTTGTCTCCTGCTCCTTTCCTTCTCCAGCCCCTGTCCTTCTAATAGCATCTTTTGCCCCCACTCCTCCTCCTGAATTTGTAGCAGCTTCCTTTGACATGTCACTTAAATGACCCCCGGAAGTGGCACTGGAGCCCGCCTTCCTTAGAGAGAAACTGCTTGTTGAATCAGGGTTTCGAGGAAAGGGGGCAGTTGCACAGATTGAAGTCATTTGGCCACATTTAAACATGGCTTTATGCCACTGTCTTTTCAGGCTTACACCAGAGCTGAATTTGGCTCACTGGATATAACTGTAGTCTATGCGCTATATAATGCAGTATACAATAGACTTGTATGATATCACTGAATGAATGGAGCAGGAGTATGCGTAGGCAGATAATTATACAGGGAAAAACTATGCTCTTGTAACCTGCCAATTAGCAACAATGGGAAAGAAAATAGAGAAAAGTTCATGGCAGTATAACAGGAGTCTGGGGAAAATAGTATTTTAACAAATAAATCAATAACGTTGAGAAAATGTCCATGGTACCGGCATCTGGAATGTTAGTAACTGCTGGTTGCTGAGCATTTTGGTTTGCTGTGCTACTAGACAATCAGGATCAAGCAGGATTTTATAGGAACTAAAATGACAAACAAATGGACAAATTCAGGGGAAGTGTGAGGCTCAGTAAGTCATGAGGGAAGAAGGCACCTGAAGAATTCAAGTGGGATTTCAACAATTTCTTCGCCACCATTGACTTCAGCCTGGACCAGTCCACACAAGAGATCCACTTCCTGGACACTACAGTGCAAATAAATGACAGTAACATGAACACTACCTTATCTTGTAAACGTACCAAGTGCAACAATTAACTACATGCCTTCAGCTTTCACCCAGGATGATCCATTGTTTACAGCCATGCCCTAAGATACAACCGCATTTGTTCCAATCTCTCAGACAAACACCTGAGATGTCTAGCAGGCATTCTTAGAATTAAAGTACCCCCCGGGGAAGTGATGAAACAGATTGATAGTGCCAGAAAGGTACCCAGATGTCACCTACTACAAGACAGGCCCAAGTGGGAAAGTATCAACACCACTGGCCATCACCTACAGCCCCCGCTAAAGCCTCTCCAGCACATCATCAAGGATCTACAACCTATTCTGGAAGATGATGACTCACTCTCACAGACTTTGGGAGGCTTGCCAGTACTCATTTACTAACAGCCCCCCAACCTGAAGCAAGTACTTACCAGCAACTATACACCACACAAGAGCAACACTAACCCAGGTACCAAACAAACTCTATTGCCAACTCTGTCTGTATAGCTACTCAAGTGACACAAACATAGGACTTAGCCACATCAGTCACCACATCAGGGGGCTCATTCACCTGCCCATCTGCAACGTGCTGTCATGTGTCAATAATATCCCTCTGCCTTGGACATTGGCCAAACTGGGCTCTCTCTACACAAAAGAATAAATGAACACAAATCAGACATCAAGAATGTAATGTTCAAAAACCAGTAGGAGAGCACTTCAATCTCCCTGGACACTCAGTAAGGGTATGTCTACACTACCCTCCTAGTTCGAACTAGGAGGGTAATGTAGGCATACCGCACTTGCAAATGAAGCCCGGGATTTGAATTTCCCAGGCTTCATTTGCATAAGCGGGGCGCCGCCATTTTTAAAACCCCGCTGGTTCGAACCCCGTGCAGCGCGGCTACACGGGGCACGAACTAGGTAGTTCGAACTAGGAAGCCTAGTTCGAACTACCTAGTTCGTGCCCCGTGTAGCCGCGCTGCACGGGGTTCGAACCAGCGGGGTTTTAAAAATGGCGGCGCCCCGCTTATGCAAATGAAGCCCGGGAAATTCAAATCCCGGGCTTCATTTGCAAGTGCGGTATGCCTACATTACCCCTCTAGTTCGAACTAGCGGGGTAGTGTAGACATACCCTATCAGATTTGGAAGTTGCCATGCTTTAGCAAAAAGCTTCAAAACACCCTGATTGTATGGACTTTGTTAGTCCTGGTCCACTGCATAGTGATATAACACTCCCATCTTTGCATGTGTATATATACCAGCCAAACTGAAGTTTCTATTTCATGCATCTGAGGAAGAGGGTTCAAGCCCATGAAAGCTTATGTCCAAATAAATGAGTTGGTGCCACAGGACTCCTTGTTATCTTTACACCATATTTAGTCTTCCTCTAGATGCAATTACTTTGAATTGCATCCATGTAACAAGGTATACACTGGCCCTCCTATGTCTTAAGCATCACCACTGAGTGTGAAGTATTCAGTGTAAAAGAACCTAAGGGAACCCAAGTTGTAATTCACATGCTGAGGGACCAGAAGGGCAGAGTGTGGGAAAAGGAGGTTTAGTCGTGTCTGGGCGAGTCTCTGGAAGTGATCAATTCAGAGATGTGAAAGCTGTGTGGCTATTTGGAATGAAATCTGTCTCAGGACACTATAATAATGTTGTCTGTCTCCTCTTGTTTAGGATGCCATTGAGGCCATAGCAGAAAGTGCTTTCAAAACCTCTCTCTACCCAGTGATCCTGTCCTTTGAAAACCATGTTGACTCGTGAGTATCCAGTGGTTGCTGGTGGGCTCATCTCTGGGGAACATGCATAAGAAAATTAATATTTTTGTTGTCTGAGAGGAAAAGCAGAGGCAAGCAGCTGCCTCCCAGTTGGCTATGGTTTCCCAAGGGCCTGAGCCTGGCAGTAGTAAGGTGAAGCACTGAAGTTGCAGTATTAGGAGTTTTTCTTGGAGGGACCAGAGATGGCTGATGCCAAAAGATCAGTTGAAAGGTGCAGAGTAAGTGAGAGAATTAAACCAGTGAATCCCATCCTGCCACTGCCATCCAACCTCCCTCAAAATCTATCATCTAACATCAGGGAGGGGATGGAGTAGGGCAGATGTTGTTAGTCCTAAAGCAGGGTTCCAGGGAGCCTGTGTGCAAGATCAGGATAAGCAGAGATTAGGATTAGCCCCTTGGGTGGGGTGCCAGCGTGTGCACGGTGGAGAAGGGTTGCTCACGCTCTTTTCCAGACTCAGTAGATTCATATCTCACTCTTGTTTTATCATATTATTCTTTAGGCCCAAGCAGCAAGCTAAGATGGCTGAGTACTGCAGAACCATATTTGGGGACATGCTGCTGACAGAGCCACTAGAAAAATATCCAGTGAGTGGAAGATGGGGGTGAACTTTTACTGGGGAGAGGGCATCGTACACATGGGTATCACTCTCTAGTGCTGCCTAGCTCAGCAACCTGTATGGAAACTCTGAGGATCCTTTTGTGGCAAGAGGGAGGAGGCTTATAAAGGCATTGAAGTCAGTGAGCCTGGAGATGGGCAGAGAGAAGAGAAATGAGGCTGGGTGCTGAGCAACTTGCTGAACTTTTCACCTTCAGGGCCACATTTTTTTAAACAAGAGACCTGATTCCGCTCTAAGTTAGACCTCTGGGATTATTCAGCTCTAGAATCTGACCCCACATGAGTTGCGCATGTGAATATATATGTGCAGAGATAGGCAGATGTAATACAGGAAGTTTCTGGGGGCACTGTTGAGAGGGTCAATTCAGGGCAAATAGCTTAGAGACAAGGCTGGGGGTCCTCCACTATAAGGTACACCAAACCAGTTAAAAAGAGCACATCTGTTTACCACACTGGCTAGCAAGAAAGCATACAAGCCATTTCCTTAGATACTCAAGTTCTCTTGTGCCATCACCAATACCACTCCCTACACAGATAAGACATTATTAAAACCAATCTTACCAAATCAAAAAAGGTTCTTCTGATTCCCAAGGACCAGCCACATTCCCAGGTCAATTTATATCTCAAGATCTTACCCTGAAAAGTATCCTTTATGATCTAAAATCTAAAGATTTAATCGTGAAAAGAAAGAAAAAGAGCTAACATTGTTATAGAAATCAAACAACATACACTATTTGTAAAGTCTTGGTGCAGGCTTATAGCAAAGATGAAATAATCGTAATAGTCTTAAATCAGGTCTCTAGAATACATTTATTATTAGGATGGGTCATCAGTCCTTTGTCTGAAGCTTCAGTTCATAGCAAAGATGCTCCAGAAGTGAGAAGCTGGATTAAAGACAAAATGGAAGAAGCTCCAGGATCCTTTTTATATCCTTAGCCATGTGGCGTGACTCCCATTGTTCCCTGTGGAAGAATACAGCTACAAAATGGAGTTCATTACATGAGCAAGTCATCTGTCCATTCATGACTCAGTACTTTTCAGGCAGCAGCCATTGGTCCCGTGCTGGTCTGAATGTTCACAGAAACACTTATCAGATGTGGTTTGGCACCTCTCAGGCCCCATTGCCAGTCAAGTAGTTCTAGTCACTTGACTAGCAAACCTGTCCAAGTCTCCTGTTGATATCTCCTAGAAGCAAACATTTGAAATACAAGTACAGAGCCAATATACATAACTTCAAGTACAAAAATGATACATGTATTTGCACAGTACAAACAGAATCAGCAAATCATAAGCTTTCAATAGATACCTCACTTGACCCACTTTACATAAGATTTGGTACAAATATACAACTGTGGTTGCAACAATGCTTTGTATGTTCACATTACAATCCAATAATATCACATCAGGTAAGTAAAATATGCAGGTGCATTCACAGACAGTGGAGTGCACATCCACATAAGTGATTGCACATAAAATTGTCATGTACAAATCATATTACCTTTTTTGTAATCCCCATGCACATTAGTATTGCTGTGCCATAAATATACATGGTACTTTGCAGAAAATTTTAAAAACATCAGTGTCTCAAAGTGCTTACAGTTCACAGTAAAGCAAGACACCATGAAGGATGGGATGTTGGGGTGCTGGATGGTGGGCAGTGCCTATAGCAATAGGTACAAACATGCAGTACCTCTTGGGGATGAATCATGATAGGCAGACAGGATAGAGCACCTGAAAATCATTTGTTAGTTGGATGGATACACAGGGACATTTGAGCATCCTTTCAGTGGTACTGGATGCAGAGAGAAGTGTGGCTGGAAGCAAGCGTGGTACAAGCAAACACCAAGATGAAAAAAGTGTGGGCTGTAGGAAAAGAAAGGTATAAAAACAGAGTAGGGCGCCAAAGTAAAATTGGCAGCCAGATGGCAAAGATACAGGAGATGACTGGCTACGTAAGCAAATGGGTGGATACAGATACAGAGGGTGCAGACAGGGCAGTGTGCAGGCAGACAGATGAGTGGAGATGTTCACAGATACTGATGGACAGCTGAGTGTTTGAGCTCTGCCTCTTGGTAGGGGAAATTTAATAAGGTCTTTCCTCTGTTACAGCTGAAGCCAGGTGTCCCTTTGCCAAGCCCTCAGGATCTCTTAGGGAAAATCCTGATTAAGAACAAAAAGAACCAATCTGTGTCTGAGGACAGGCGGGACTCTTTGAAGAAAGACAGGAATGAAGCTACTGACCAGCCTGTCCCTATGGATGGTGATGATACCGGTACAATATGAAGTGGGAGAGAGGATTTATTCAGCTCCGATGGGATGGCCTGGCCTTTTGGAGAAGGTCCAAACCTGCCCAGTGTTATTTCTAGAGATCTAATCTCATACATAAGCTCAGGCACATCAGAGTGGAGGGTAACAGGGATCAGCTCTGCAGAATAGAATTACATTTTCAGACATGTTATAGTGTTAATAGCAACACTGGAGCCTTAAAGGATCATGTTACTAATACACTGGCTATCTGCCAGCTGTTTTTTCTCCTGAGATGCACTGCTGCATATATACTGGCTGTTGATCTCACTCTCTGGCCCTTGATTCCTGTCCTACATTGTCATTGAGTAGCTCTATGGAATCCAGCAAATTACACCATGACATATTTTCCTAAGCATGAATGTTTTGGAAGCCTCCCCCAGATTTTTTCATCTCTTCTGAGTCTTATACTTTGAGACCTCAAGACAGAACAAGTGAAATTTCAGCCCATGTAGTCTCTATGCTCCTGTCACACTAGACTAGAGGTAGAGAGGGCTGCAAGAATGCAAGAACAGCTCCTCTGAAGAATAGCTAGGAGTAAGGAGCTACAGTAAATCCACTTCCAGATTTGTCCCATTAGGCATGACCCTGATGGAAAAGTGGAATTACAGTCCACTCATGGAAGCAGCCTATGAAGGGAGGCTGGAGACTTTGGGGATACAGCCAACTTAGTTTCTGATACTGTTATTTGGGGCTAAGGAGACCAGTAAGAGGATGAACTGAATTATTTGAGAGCACCAACCCAGAATGGTGCTTCTCCATATTCAGCTGCAGTTGTACAGGTACAGACCCCTTTCTTGTTCCCATGTTGACACTGGGAGGGATTTCCATTCAGAAAAAAGGAATGTTTCCATTGCTAGTGGAAACAGCACTAGAGGATGTGTTGGCAATCTTTCCTGCTATTCTGTCTAAATGTGCTGCTGGGGCGCACTGTGTATGCTTAGTCTGGGCAGGTGATGTGACTGAAGAGGACCCAGAGGAAGAGGAGGAGGAATCTGGAAACTTGGATGAAGAACAGATTAAAAAGATGCAGTCAGATGAGGTAGTGTCACTGATCTTTCCACTTTTGGCTCATTTGCCTGTTCTGAATAGTGATCCTATCCCAACTTATTGTGGGGTCCAGTCACATGATTTAATCTAAGTTCCCCCTTCACCTGTCCTCACTGGGCTTGAGAGTCCAAGCTCTACCTCAAATCGCGACCTCAAAGCAACGTCTACACAGTTGCTATTAGTGTGCTCGTGTGAGCACTGCTAGCACAAGTCTAGCCTGGGGCTGGAACACTTGCTTCCAGATCTAGTGTAGCCATAACCTTAGAGACTCAAATGTGAGTGTGTTGTTTTTCTGGGAGATGTCTCTTCATCTGCTTATCCTCATTTTGTTTAGGGCACTGCTGGCTTAGAAGTGACAGCTTACGAGGAAATGTCCAGCCTGGTCAATTACATCCAGCCCATCAAATTTGACTCCTTTGATATCTCAACAGGTAAGAAGGATTCTTGTCTTTTCACTATTCTAAATGTTTTCATTGAAGCAGCTGGTATGAAATTTCACGCATTGAAAATCTCCCGCTATTTTGACTGCAGCTGTATTTGAAGATACTTTGTTGCCCCCAAAGCATCTTCTTTTACCCTCCTTGCTGTCTCTTACACATCCCTGTTTGTAGTCAACAGGTCAAATTCTGCTCTATTACTCTAGTGAAAATCCACAACAATGCCACTGCTATTCATGGAATTATTATGGTGTAAATGGGAGCAGAATTTAGTTCAGCCTGTATCAGTATATGTGACTGGTCTTTGAGTGGGGATTCCCCCTGCTGAGTGATGGAGAAAGCTGTATACCTGTAACCTCATTACAACAGACAGACCAAGTTAATCAGATTCTCAAACCTGGACCAGTTTTCAGTGAACTGGGCTGATTCATGGTGTCAGTGAAAAACTTGATAAAATGCAGAGCTTTTCATTGAGCTTTGCTATCAGTGTTTGGCTTCACTTGAACATATAACTCTAAGGGGAAACAACTCCTTAACTGGCATCAAGTAAATAATTTATCTTTTCCACATCTCTACTATATGAGCCCTCTGTGTCTGGGAGATTATAATGTGTGGTTTGGAAACAAAATGAAGGACTGTAAACTGTTGCTATATGTTTTCTATAAAAGGGTGAACTTCTTATCATCCCTCCCTTTTTGAAACTGATCCTCTGGATTTGTTCATTTGTCATCCCTGTCCCAGTAAACCCAATCCAAATCCCAACAACTCCAATAAACCTTTGAGTCCTTCCTCCAACCCCATTTCAGAGGTGGCAGTGCCTGGTTGGAGGTGTCTTGATCTTATAACAGGCTGCACAGGGAATGGTATGGGTGGGTCCATGAGGAAAGAGACAGGCTGGGTATTTCGTGGTCTGAGGCCCAGCATGAATGTGGAATGCTTTGATTGTGGTACTTGGCAGAGTGTGAGATGAGGTGCTGGGAGTGCCTGTCTTTCAAACATTTTCCTGTTTCGTATTCCCAGAGCAGAACCGAAGTTATGTCATCTCCTCCTTCACTGAAATGAAGGCTTATGATCTACTGACCAAATCTCCTGTGCAATTTGTAGAGTATCCTTTTTGCTAGAAGAGCTCTTAGGCAGCTGATGCATTTTAATTGGACTATTACTCCCTGTCATATAGTATCATTCTGGTGAGATGTATGACAATGTTGCATAGACCTTTGAATAAGATAGAGACAGCACAGCTTACTTTGAGGCTCAGAACCTTGTTAGCTTTTATTCACAATCTATGGAAAGTACCAAATACATAGAGAACTCAGACATGGTAATATTACCAGGGGAACATGTAGGTCTTACTGGTCACAGGGCTTCCTGATAAGATGCCTGCTGCCTTCTAGCAGGCACAGTCAGACATACCAAAGGCTTGTTGTTAAACATGGAGCACACCATGTTATATAGGGAGGCAGGAGGAATGGGGTTCTTGCTTTGATAACAAATCCTACAGCATCTTGTGTTTATAACACTGGATGTCACCCAGCATCCAGCAGCCATTTCAGACATAAAAGCTCATAATCTGGCACTGGGAGGTAGTCCCAGCACACACATGCATGGGCCATTTCAGACCTGTTTCCTATGGAGTAACTGCAGATATAACAAGCGACAGATGAGCAGGATTTACCCCAAGGGCACCCGGATGGACTCCTCCAACTACATGCCTCAGATGTTCTGGAATGTCGGCTGTCAGATGGTGGCCTTAAACTTCCAGACAATGGGTGAGTTGCAAGCTGTCCCATGCTTATGGGTGGGGTTGTTGCTTTTATTACACCTGCTCTTATTTCTCCTCTTTTCCTTACTGGGAATTCCCAGTGTTACCAGGTGCCTCTGAACAAACATGCTAGCCGTTAGCACTACCCTTGACTTGTCAAATTCTGCCTCCACATGGAGATCTCTGTTTCCAGCTGAGCATCTCATTTGCAGACAGAGCCTTTTTCAATAGCACTAACTGGATGATCCTGCACTACAATACCTGTGAACTCCACCCTCCCATGCTATACTATCCATGCAGTCAGTATCTGCAGAAATCATCTTAGAAAAGCCTAATTTGATTTTTCAGGTAGTGTGTGGAGTGCAATGGTTAACAGGCTGTGGGAGGCACAGATACCCCTAAGCCACACATGCTGCTGGTAGGCAGCATGCCCAACTAGGTACCTCCATGAAGAGGTCCTTCCCTCTGCCAGACTCTAGCATTTTCCGTACCTGCTACTGTTTCAAATGTTGATCTTGGGTGGGCAGGAAAGGGCTTCAGGGCTCCCCCTTCCCATGTCCTCTTCAGGACTGCAGGGTGAGAAGGTGTGGTGGAAGGGCCACTATCTGACTGTCTCTCTTACACACAACACACATGCACGAGTGAGTGTATAGGAGAGAGGCAAGATGTTGAAGCTACACAAATTCAGACTGGAAATAAAGTGCGAATTTGGAACTGTGAGGATAACTAGCCACTGGAAGAGTTTACCAAGGATTAGGGTGGATTCTCCAGCATTGGCAAATGTAGATCATGATTAGGTGTTTTTCTAAAAGACATGCTCTAGTTCAAAGAATTATTATTTGGGAGAAGGTCTCTGGCCTGTGCTGCGCAAGAATTGGACTAGATGATCACAATGGTCCCTTCCAGCCTTGGGATCTATAGATGGGAGGGGGAAAAGGAAAGTGGAAGAGAGGGGAAGTAAAAATGACAGTGGGAGAGACTGATGAAAAGGGGATCATACTGTGTATAGGGCATAAAAAGAATAAGGAGCAGAGTAAGTGAATGGTGAAGAAGGCAGACATTAACAGGGGAGCAGAGTGAGAGAGGTTAGAAATGGGAGCAGGAGAGCTCAGGTGAATATTCATTTGACACACAGAAAAGCAGGAGTACTACAGGGAAGGTTCAATACCTAATTCTGCCACTGATTCACTGTGTGACCTGAGCAAGCCACTTAAACAGATGGGGAAACGGAGGCAAGGAGGTTAACATCTGCTATGGTACTTTTTCCAAGAGGATAGCAGGAAAATGTGGATGAAAGTTGCAACAAAGATACAGTCACTACAGTTCCTTGATACATACAGACCTTGCTGCTGCACTCTCACAGAAATTCCTCTCTGTGTCTTGCTGTCTCTCTCCTTCAGATGTCCCCATGCAACAGAACATGGCCCTCTTTGAGTTCAATGGCCAAAGCGGCTACCTTCTCAAACATGAATTCATGAGGCGTCCAGACAAGCAGTTCGACCCTTTTTCTGTGGACCGCATTGATGTGGTGGTAGCAAGCACCCTGTCGATAACGGCAAGTATAAGCCACTTGTAGACCAATGGTCTGGGTGCTTACCCAGCTGTGCAGGTGGTGTGGGTTCTACTCCTTCTGCAGCTTCCATAGAAGGGATTTGAGCAGCTGTCTCTGAAATGACTGTTCAGTTGCTGGTCCAAGAGGTGGTCTGCCTGGTGTTTGCCACCGCATCCTGTTCTGCAGCAGTTCCACTTTAATTCTATCATGGAGAGTCATGAGAATAGCAAGCAGCTTTGTGCAGTCTAGCAGTTTGGGTGTGTGCTTAACATGTATAAGCTTAGGGTTCAAATCCCCCTTTATTTTTACAGAGAAGGGATTTGGACTTTCATCTCTTACTTCAAGAGACTGGCCTAAGTGGTGGGCTAGGCGCTATTCTAATCTGAGGCCTCTCTTGTTCTTTTCTGCTGAATCTGCTCCACTTTCAGTACATATTCATTGGGCCAAAGCCCAAATAAACAGCCTTATGTAGCTTACTGGATGGGTATGTGCCCAGCAGGTGGGAAGTTGGCGGTCACATCCCCTTGTTGATCTCTAACCTTTCAATTGAACCACAGGCACCCTATGAGTCTCGTTGTAGTCCAGGGCTTTGCGTGTTTGCCCCTTGAACAGTGCAGTCCTGAGAAGGGATTTGAACATTGATCTCTTACTTCTCAAATGAATGGCCTAATTGCAGGCCTGGTAAGAGGTGAGGGCTCCTTCAGACTCTTCTGTTGGTGGCTGGTCAGAATCAGTAAATATGAAATGAGAATTGGGCCACTCAATTATTGTGACTCCCTCTGTGTCCCTGTGGTTTGAGTCCCTACCCAAGAGGTGCTGGTTCAAATCCCCTTTCTGCTTGTTGAGAAATGAGTGGCTGTGTGATCTATTACCATCAAGTGTTTCACTTTAATTATATATTAACCAGGGCACAGCAAGCCTCCAAAGCCTTATGTGGTATGGGGGTTAGAACCCTTACTTAGGGTGTGAGTACCCCTGGATCAAATCCTTGTTCTAGCAGGTAGGATGGCCTCTAGTGTGTGGGAGCATAACCATATAGCTGGTCAAGAGGCCATTTGCAGCCTTTAATTAAAGAGGAAATTGCTGCTGAGCAGTAACACCTCCCCTCCCCCAAACACTTTTGTCCACCATGATCAGGATACAGGTCCAGCTTGTGGCAGCCCCCAGAGCACTCCCCTGTTCTTTTGAGGGATATGAAATGGGGACCCCCCCCCACCTCCTGAGGAGAGTGCCTGGTGAACAGTCTCTGTCTGAATCCCCTTCCCGTCCTAAGAAGACAACAGCCTCTTGAGATAGAAGATTCAAATAAAGATGGCCCATCAGAAAGGATAGTCACCTTAGAGGCAGCAAATCCCCATGCAAACCCCTACTGAACAGGAAGCTGGGGGATTTGAACCAGGATCTCCTACAACCCAAGCAAGTATACTAACCAGAGAGTGAGGGTCATGAGTGAAGCTGCTGCTTGTGGAGGCAAGCTCCGCCCCTGCACTACCCAGGCTCCTTTGTCTCCCTCTTCTCTCTGCTCACCCATTCCAGCCAAATCTGTGAATCCAAATGTAGCAAATGACACGCTCCATTTTCTTTAGAAATACATTTCAGAAGAGTGGGATTTTCTTCAAATGTTTTCCGTCGCATGCCAAGTTGTGCAAACTAGATATGCAGAAGATACCTAATGAAAAGCACTAAAATTGGGAATAAAAAAGTCAGGTTTTTTTTATACACCATGAATTTTGTCATACATTTATTTGCAAAAACTCTGTAGTAAGGACCTGCTGAATATAACATTAAATATTATAGAATTCATGATGTTTTAGAGTTCTTCTCTGTTTTAGAGTTTCTATTTTAAACATACTCTTAAGCCTTCATAAAGTAATCATTCCAGATTACTACATGTTTAACTCACTGAAACAAAGACGTTATTTTAAATTAATCAGTCAGAGCAGTTTAGGGTGTTCATAACAAAGTTCGCTGCTTTTAAAAAAATGGAAAACTTGTTATAAAAAGTAACACAAAATAAATTTGTTGTGTTAATGATATGTCACTTTATGTTAAAACATATTTCAAAAGATTTTAGGCATAACAAAGGATTTTATATCTTAATAAGAGATATTGATGTTGGTGGAGGGTTCTCTTAAAACTAGTTCATGAAATAGTGAGAAGTAAAAGGGAAACTCATTTGTTTAGCTATCTGTAAGAAAAGGAATGTTGTCCCTTTAAGTTCTCTCTTCAGTAGGGGGTGTGAAAAGGAAATAGGAACAGAAAGAACAGGACAATTTTTGAAGCAAGTTTTATACTATAGTAATTAAAATGTGTATTTTAGAGAAGGATGGTCTTTTGAAGAATTTATTTAAAAAAAAATCCTATATATCTGAATATCCAAGCATTTAAGGCTAAAGCTAAATACACAGTTTGTACCTCAGATAGAGAGGTGTGATTTTATAATCTTCAGCAACAAACTAATGAACTGTTTAAAGCAAACTTTAAACTAAGGTCCTGTAGACATGCACAACTGTTCCTATCAGTAAATTCAGAAGTCCAGTGGTACCTGAGAGACTAACAAATATCTATATATATATTTAGTATCATGAACTTTCATGGGCAAAAGCCACTTCTTCAGATGAGATGACCATATAAATATATATTTATTACTCTCTCAGATGCTACAGGACTACTTGCTTTTAAAGTTACAGACTAACATGGCTACCCCCTGAGACTTTTAAGCATGCCTGTTAAAACATTAAATGGTTACATTACCACTTCATGGCTCTTTCATAGGTTCAATGTTATGCTAATAGGTCTGGCAAGCTGGAAAGCTTTTCACTTTTAAGTTAACAGATCCACTTTGAGGGAAGAATCACCAGTCTGCCAGCAGCAAGAGCCTGCTGTGGGAGCATTTAGGGATGGTCAGAATAGGGATAAGAAGAGGGAACGGGTTGAGCATTAAGACCCAGGGAAGACATTGCTTCCCCTTGCCTCATATGTGCGGCCCCTGGTTACTATGGCAACTCCTAGGCCTTTCAGTGTTTAAAATTAATCACAAACACATGAAAATAAAAATTTAGCAACTGTCACATTGAATAATCCAGGGTCGTGGTAATGGAGAGAGAAGATTATGGGAGAAGCACTAAAGCAAAGAGCACAGGGGAAGGGAAAGCAGAACAAGACAAGCATGAAATAGGGAATGATTGGGCTGGAGGACAGCAGTGACCAAGAAAAAAGAGGAAACAGGCAACAGAAGTGGTGTAGGAGCTGGAGAGGATTATAATAGCGGTTGCTAGGTTTTTTTCCTGTTTGTTCTTAGATCCTTTCTGGCCAGTTCCTCTCAGAGCGCAGTGTGAAGACATATGCAGAAGTGGAACTTTTTGGTTTGCCAGGAGACCCAAAACGTAAATACAGAACCAAGCTGACATCAAGTGCCAATTCCATCAATCCTGTATGGAAGGAGGAAGCATTTGTTTTTGAAAAGGTAACAACACTTAATGGTAACTCAGATAATGGACTGCTAAAGAGCCGAGTAACCATGAGCATTTTCCTTGGGGATGCCACGGCCACATGAAAGACGCCTTCTTAGATTCATAAAGCTCTCCTGTGGGGATTTCAAGGACCACAAGTTTCTCTACTGATGAAGAATCACTGGTGACCCTTTTTGAGCATCCCAAAGGCCAAAACACTCCTTGGCTGTGCCTACATTCGAGTAGGAATAAGGGATCTTCCGGAAAAGGGCTTATTTTCCGGAGAATCGCGTCTACACGGGCGCTTTTCTCCGGCAAAAACCCCGAGCCGGAAAAAAGCGGCAGCCATGTAAATGCAAATGCCGCGGGGGATATTTAAATCCCCCGCGGATTTGCAATTCCGAAGTGTCTCATTAGCATCCCTTTTCCAGAAAGGGACACCAATGTACCGAAGTGTCTCATTAGCATCCCTTTTCCGGAAAGGGACACCAATGTAGACACAGCCCTTGTGAACATTTTAAACTGAATTTGCCAATCAAATAAGCCTTGGAAATCTCTAGCCATGAGGAAACAGAAAAGATTATAGTAAATGTGCCCATCTTGTTGCATCACAGATGTTTTAGGGACAAATAGAGACAGAGTCTCATTTGAGTCAGATCCTAGGATGCATACAACTTGCCCTAGAATTTACTTGTTGCTACTATTTCAGCTGTGGGGTTAAAAGTCATAACAGCAAGAGCATAATAATACTTCACACTTTCCTACAGCTTTACATGTTCACCTTCACAATACATTTGTGAAAGCAATGGACGTTTTCACCAGCTCATTGTGCAAGGTGGGTATTATCTCCTTTTTCAGGATGGTTCTGAGACACAGATACGTGATGTGACAAGCCCAAAGCCAAGATTAAACTTCAGAAATGCCTGATTCCCAGTCTGGAGGTCATTCTTCTAAACTCTGGTGTCACAAAGCATCTCTTATTAATTTTACAGCCGGGGGGGGGGGGGGAAGAGAGTTCTCCCTGTATTACTGGTTCTTGGATTTATATTTTTTCTTGACACCAATAACCTGTTAGGAGTTATAGCAAGGCACCTGGGACTTGAGCTGTTGTGTTTTTCTCCCCAGATTATGATGCCAGAGTTGGCTTCTCTCAGAATTGTGGCTTTGGAGGAAGGAGGAAAGTTCATTGGTCATCGCATCATTCCCATTATTGCTGTGCATTCAGGTAAAGTGAAACCTTGCTGTGCAAACTTCTTCACTGTCCTTCATCACCCCCCTTTACTGGCCTGAACTGAGTTTGCTGTGCAGCACAGTATTAACTGGAGCTATGCTAAGGTTTGGCGTTAAGGAAATGAACCTGTGTGCTGATGGAGTTTTTGGGATGTAGCAGTGATAGAAGCTGTGGTTCAAAGTGCATCCTCTTTCTGGGGATGAAGGGAGATGGTATGTTCCCCTCTCTTGCAGTCACTGTTGCATTCCGTTGTGTTGTGTTTGAGGGATTCAAGCAGCAGAGCCCCTCCAAGCTCATTTCACTGGTACTTTTGTGTAACCCATAATTTCCAGTTATGAGTGCTTTCCCTTTATCTACTTTATCACTCACACACTGCTGCTGTGTTTCCTCGTCAGACTGGGGGCAGGAGGTGGGAGGGATGCCCTCACTTACTTGTTCCTGTTTTCTATCATCAGGCTATCACCATGTTTGCCTTCGCAGTGAAAGTAACATGCCACTCACTATGCCCTCCCTATTTGTGTACCTGGAGATGAAGGACTATGTCCCTGACACCTGGGCAGGTAATTTACTTGGACTGCCTGATGTGGTTTGTCCTCTCCTGACTCTAACCTGCTGGTACTCTGAAATTGCCAGAGAAAATGGCTGCATCTCTGTTTGTGGGTTGGGATTGTTTTAGTTACCTAGTGTGTCAGACTGGAAATCTCACTCAGAGGTGATGGTGGAGCTGCTCTCAGTTTGGAAGAGAATGTGCATACAGAGACAGGAGGGGAGTGTGGCTGGCAGTCTCTTCAAGCACACCTCCTACTTGTTTACCATTCTGGTTCTGCCACAGCCTACAGGTCCCACCAGTCATTTCATAAGCAGTTCTTTCAATTCAAAATACCTCCCACCCCAGTCAAGGCACTTTGTGCAGGCTGAGAAGAGAACCCAGTGGGCCAGTCAAAGGCCAACAGAAATGCTGTGAGGAATAACATGAAACAGTCTTACATGATTCTCTTCATCCTGTCATTTGTTCCAGCCTTTCTGCAAATGTGTGTTCTTCTTATCACCAAAGAGAAGGAAACCCCAAGGCCCTTTGCTTTCCAGTGTCTTCTGATTTAGAAAAATCTTTAAACAGTCTTTGCCATCTGAGACTTAACTTCTTAAGTCCAGCCATGCATGTGCCCTGGTGCCAAGCAGCATTCCTTTTTGTTAACTTTCTCCAGTTGTTCATACTGAGCCCCTTGCTCCTAGCCATTCCCAAGGAGACGTGGCTGAGCTTTTACCTCCCTGGCAGCTCTCCTTGTTTTATGTCACCTTCAAAGCCTCCATGCCCATTTGGGAGTAAGAGTTCATTAATCAGCCACAGGGGTACCCCCTTTCAGGTTAAATTGGCTCCCATGAGGAGTCAATCACTAGTGATAAGGCTGGTCCCATTTCCCCTTTTAAAGGTACCATGCAGATTGTGGCCAGGAGGGATCCCATTGTGGGATCCCCTGGGATGCTCTCTGACTTAGAAATGGGATGCATAAACAGCAGTGAGGTATAGAGTTGTCCCAGGAATGAGTGAGGAGAGTAGAAATCCCTCTCTTAAGAACCAACAGGGGAACTTCCACTTAGTCATGTACAAAGATTTGCAGAACTCAGCAGTTTCACTCTGCAGACATTTGTGCAGACATTTCCATTGGTTCTGAATCATACATCAGCTCAGGAATGGATTTACACAAAACTGGGCAGAGGTTGGATCAGAAAGTTTGCACAGTTTAGTAAACCTTTTACCATTCTTAGCATAAGCATCATATTTCAGAGCATCACTTGGTTTTCAACCTGAGTGCAAACACTTTGCACAGCTCTAGTTAGTGCTGAAGTGCAGAGAGAGACAAATGGGAAAACGGCATTCCCAGACACAGAGAAAATAGAATTGCAGTGTCTCCCTGTAACTTGTAGGGAATGTTCTCACTAACATGAGGCTGAGGTGAAAAGACAGCAGGGTGGGAAAGGACCCATCCAAGAGAAGGCTAAAACAGAATGGAATCACATCCTGGTACCGGGAAAGGGAACAGGGGATTTATTCAGGACGCAGTATCTCCGTCAGGCAGTTAGTGTGAGACTCACTATTCACAGAAATAAAATGTGAGTGACAGAGAAAGGGAAAATCTGATGAGTCCACTGACTATCTGGATCTGTTCTTTGTTTCCAGATCTGACTGCTGCTCTATCCAACCCCATTAAGTTCTTTAATATCCAGGAGAAGAGATCAGTGAAACTAAAAGAGAACTCTGCAGAGGTGAGTGTTCCTACACATTCTGCAGTGTGCTTTGTGGGTTCAGTTTCAAACGATTCAGGATGCTTGTCCTAATGCTTCTTCACCCTGTTAGGAGGCTTCTTCACCCTGTTAGGAGCAATGAGAGAGTGTGGCAGTAGTTCAGTCTTTGACAGGTGGAAGGGTATTCACTGTCTGTTTCCGAAAATCTTGTCTAATTCCTTGAGGCTATAGATAGTTGCTGCACCAGGAGTTATATAGATGACATAAACCACCAAAGGGGAGCTTGCCTTGTGTCAGGAAAGTCACACACACAGGTCAAAGCTAAGCAGACTTTGGCATTGAGATCTTGGGAGACTTCATTGTTTAAATGGAAAGCACTGTACTGTTTCCCTCACCGGCTTTGCTCAGAGGTATTGATTGGCCTCTCCATTGCCACTTCTGTTTCTTGGGTCTGTTTTGCAGAAGCATTGATTCACATTTGATCTTTGTTTTAGAGGCCTGACATGCAGAAGAACCTTACGGAAGCTCAAACCAACGGAATACCACATTCTACCAGGAGCTTTAGTTTGCCTCTTCCAAATGGACCTGAAGGTAAAGTAGGCAGATGTGGGAGGAACTCAAAGAATAAAGAGGGAGATGTACATTGCTTCAGCGTTGAAAGAAGAAAGTCTTGGATTTTTGCCCTAGGGGCTGGTAATGGGATCAGCCCATTCACTTCTAGGTCAATTGTTTAAATTCTGGTCTTGATCAATACTGAACAAAAGTTACTATTCAGTTGCTCTTTGGTGGGAGTGTGAGTATGGGTGGGTGTGTAAAACAAGTGGGTGACTTCACTCCATTTCTAAGCAGAAAATATTATACAAAAAATCATTGTCACAATCAGCACAGTTGATAATCTCAATAAACAAACCAAGATCCAATGAGCATGGAACAGAACAAAAATTTACCCTTGAGGTAAGAGCTCCATGTCTGAGTTGGAACATACATGTGAAGCAGTATGGATGAAGATTACATTGCCATTTCTTACACTGAACTTTTCCTGTATTGTGAATAAATAGGGGAGGTTACTTCCCAACATTGACAACGCAGCACCTTTCACCAGCACTATAGTCAAAAGATGATAACATTATGGAAATCAGCAGAGATAAGTTTAGAAGAGAAACACAGCTGATGGGGAGATGGTTCACATTGTAAATTACTATCAGGCACTCAAGAAATTTCTGTAGATTAATAAACACCAGCCTGCACACCCTTTTCTCCTTACAGTCAGATATCCAGACCTGGGGAAGGGTTTCTAGATAAAAACTATTCCTATACCACCATTCAAGTCTATGCCACCCCAGTCATCTGAAATGATAAGTCTCACAATGACCAAGTGACTAGGAATGGTGAACTACAGCCATTGGGAGCTGCAGGCAGGCTGTGCCTGCCGTCAACATCAGTAAAATATCTGGTGGCCCACCAGCAGATTATCCTGATGGGCCACATGCTGAAGGTTGCCAATCCCTTGTCTAAGAAGCCCACTGACTTCAGCTGAATTACTCCTGATAATGTTAGTGATATGAAGAGAATCTCTCCCGAAGGTCCTAGTGAACAGCAGTTTATGAGGTGGTTTGAGCAGACTAAATTAGTATGTAAGCACCTAGATTGTTGTTCCTAGCAGTTAGTGCACTTTTGTAATGATTTCAGTTAGAAATTCCAAATAACTCCCTTGATCTTGGTGCAGGTAAGTATTTCACATCCAGGTAGAAATGCCACCTGTTTGATCTTGAATGACTTGCAAGATCTGACAGTCCTGGAATTTTGAGGCTATCCCAATCCTCCCCAACTTTGGGGGCAGGAAATGTGGCTTGATGGATTGAAGAGATGACTTGGTTCTAGTCGGTAATATCTCCTTGTTCCTTATCTCTACATTATTTTTGTAATTTTTATGAGGTCCTGATTGCCTCCTTTGAGGTTCTGGGTGCCTCCAGTCCCACTGAAGCCATGTTGCGGACACTCTCTACCTGGCAAGAGTGAACTTACTGAAGTTCTGTTTCACTGTATCTGTTGAGTGCTGATGAATGTTAGGCATCCGATTGATCAGCTCAGCTAATTTCCAAGCTCTTTCTGAGACTTGTTGCAACTTCTGGGTGTAATGCTTCCCACATAACAGCAAAAAGGGCAGCAAGGGTACTTGATGCAGGAATATTTTCTTGCCCTCTCACAACACCCCTTCTTTCAGTGTAAGCATGTCAGCAATAAGGGAAATGGTGTAGAACCCCAACTCTCCATTCTCCACTGCTCCATTTTCAGCACAGAAGTAGGGTATGAATAACAATTTCCTTTGTGGTTTCAGGAGCTATGGGCCTGGGGAAGGAAGAAACTATAAAAGAAATTGCAAAAGAAATTGCAGGTAATTACACCAATATTACTCTAAAGGGAGAAGGGATATAAAGATAACTTTAAGCCACTTTTGTGACTCCACTATCATCGGCCAACTGGAGCCCATTTTGTTGTCCTGCATAAGTTAGAGTAACTTTAGGGCTGCTCTAATTTGTTCTCTGCTGCCTGTGATCCCAAGGGGACATCGTAGCAGCTGTGAATAGCTGAAGCACAGCAACATTTCAGCCATGTTCTAATGCAGGGATGGGAAATAATTTTTTATAGGGGGCCACTCTAAGAATTTGGAAAGTGGTCAAGGGCTGCATTCTTCCATGTTGTTAATGGAGGAGGTATGGGGTCTGGAATGGAGGTTGTGTGCAAAAGGGAGCTAGTGAAAAGGATTGGGGTGCAGGAGCAGGTGTGGGGTCTGGGAGGGAATTTGGGTGAAGGAGGCAGTTGTGACCTGGGGCAGGGATTTAGGATCCAGGGTGTGGGTTGTGACCTTGCTTAAGAGGGGGTTGTGTCTTAGGGCTGGGGTTTGGGATGCAGGATCTGAGACAGAGTATGGGGGAAGAAGGGAGCAGAGGGTTTGGATTATGAGGGGTGGAGGGGGGGGCAGAGGATTGGGAGACTTACCTGCTTGATTCCCAGCCAGCAGCCTTCTCAGGCAGACTCCCTACCTGCCCCAACACTGGCTGCAGGGGCCATGTGATCTTTGAAGAGCTACCAGCCTAAGGAGAGGGGGGAGGGTGCTTTGCAAGCTGTCTGTTGACAACAGGCAGTGCCCATTGGCTGGAAACCGGCCAATGGAATTGTGCTGGGGGCAGTGAAGGAAACCTCTGTCTCCTCCAGGGACTCTCAGCTGTTCAAACAGTCCCATAGCAGCCGCTTTTCTCAGTGGCATGGGGGAGAGGGGGGGCGGCAGGGAGCCTTCCTGAGGCTCACCAATGCATCCATGGGCCAGATTCAGAGGCTTGGTGGGCCGGATGCTGCTCACAGGCAGGATATTGCGCAGGCCTGTTCTAATGCCTTCAAGCCTGCCTTCAACACACACGATGCACAAGGGGTTCCTATAGGGGACAGCTGAGAGCCACTATCACCCGCAGTACCCATCCAAGGAATTCCACAGTGGCCAGATCTGCTGGCTTTCAGGCCCCTTTGCACTGGCAGAAGCAGAACAACATGGGCTATAGAGCAGCTTGAGCACTCTGGAGGACTGAGATCTCCATCTGTTGATTTAATGCATTTATTATTTGTCTATTTGTCTGCATCACAATGGTGTGTGATAAAATCAATTAACAGCCAAAATTAAAACCCAACATGCCGGAATATACTACCAAACAGGACACAAGGATGAATCCACCTGGCCTCAGTCAAACTACCACATTGGGATCATCTAGTAAATAAATCCATCTGCTGCAAACTTCCACACATCACAGTTATGAATAAATTAGGATATTAAAAAAGGATATTCATAATTTAAAACCTTTGTTAGGAAAGAGTTATGATTGTATAAGGGCAGATGTTAATATAGCAAGTATCTGAGTCATTAGAAGGTAATAGAGCAAAAAGCCTAATTTCCTGATACAAACATTTGTGTTTGCACATTATCCCTGAATTTCCTCACTTCCACATGTTCACTAGAGCTAAAGTTCCATAACAGAGTCCCAAGCAAAAACCATGACTTTCTTTAGCACCCCAATAACCTTTTAATCACAGATACTAGCATTCTAATGACTTGCTGCCCAAAGATAATGGAGTCTCTGTAACATTTCCCTTGCACCTTTCCTCGTCCTTCATCTCCCCTAAATGCCACTAGCAAAATAATCTTTTTCTTGCACCTTATAGGAGATGTCATACGTTAAAACTAGAGGTCATTTTTCCCCGGACAGTGTAAGAGTACACTGATCATAATTGATTGTTTTCATTGGAGAACCAGTAATAGGAAAAATATTCCCTATATTTGCCAACTAAAATTTGTCCCAACTTGTGGGACACTTAATTTTGTGAATTGCCTTGTGTCTCACAACACCTTGATGTGTCCCAACACAATTATGTTGCCCATCCAGACAAAATACAAAAAGCTGGCAGCTTTACAGGCATGTATCCAGCCCATGTTGCTTACTGACTTTGCAATTACCCTGATGAAAGGGAGAAAATGCTGGAATCAGTGTTGAAAAACAGCCTGAAACAAAATGAAGTTAGAGTACGGAAAGAATGTGTGTACGAGAGAGAGGTAGGTAGATGGGTTAGACAGCCAGCCAGGACTCTTGTTGTACTGTATTTTAGAACTCGAGACAGCCAGCCTTGAGGAACTTCAGAAGATGAAGCTTTTTCTGAAGCTGCTGAAGAAACAGGAGAAGGAGCTGAAGGAGCTGGAGCGAAAGGGAAGCAAGCGCAGGGAAGAGCTGCTGCAGAGATATTCAGAGTTGGTCACTCAGGGTGGCAGGAAGAAGATCATATGCCCTGGGAAAACACAGAAAAAGAAAAGGTAAAAAAACAGCAAAAGAAATCGCAAGATGTCCTGCATGGCACTCAGATGGCCTTGCTGGCTGCACACAAAGAGGCACACTAAGTGCTCCCCTCTGAGAAAGACGTATGAGCCACACACTTTCCCCCTCTTCATGCCACCCCTCCAAAACAAAGGCATGGAGGGGGTTGCCTGCCTCTTATTTCCATAGGTGTGCATGGAATTGCACATTCCTTTCTTAGAGGTGTGCAGGAGGACTCTTGGATATGGTGCGACGTGTGGAATGGATTATCTGTGTGCTGCCATAAGCAATGCTCCTGTATTTGGTGTTACAGGAGTTTGACCGCAGAGGAAATCAGTGCAGCATGGAGTCCTGCAGAGATGGCAGCAGAGTATGCTGAAAGCCAAGTCTTGGAGCTGAAAGAGAAGCTGGAAATGGAGCTAATGCAACTGTGGGAAGAGCAGTATGATGGGATGCGGAAAAAGAAGGAGCAGCATGCCACGGAGGTATGGACTGAATGCATACTCCACCATCTGGGGGTATCTCACCTTTACAGATGCAGCCAGGCACAGAAATTCCCACCAACACAGTCCTTGTCACCAACATGGCTATATCCTGGCATATGCCATGCAGAAATAAAGCTGCTTCAATACATTTCACACCAGCCATAATCAAAGCAACACCTATAAATATTGTGCCCACGCACAGCATTGCTCCCCAAACTTAGGCTATTGCAGGGCCTGCTCGTGCACCTGTTGGAATCAATCAAAAAATGAGGTTTACAGGATCTTTCTAGAAAGGGTTTATTTTTCGAAAGATCCGCATCTAGACTGCTGGTTTTTTTTGTTTTGTTTTTTTTTAAAAGCACCATTTCGAAAAAAAAAGCGGCAGCCATGTTTATGCTAATGAAGCACGGGATATTTAAATTTCAGCCTCGTTAGCACTTTCGACGTGCCTAATCTACATCTCTCTGTCGACAGAGAGGTTTAGTCTAGACACAGCCAGAATGCCAGTGGTGATGCACCACCACTTTGGAGTGATAGCCAGAGGGACAATACCTGAAGATAGATTGTTGCCCAAATTCAGTGATAGCTGGGGTGAAAGTAACTTAAATTATTTACAGATACTGTACTATCACAACCCGCTCTCCCGTGAGGGGAGACTAAAGCAGGGGTTGCAATGCAACAATACCTATAAGAAATGTAAGTATAGGATGGAGTGCGGGAGGTTCATGGCAAAGGGTTGAGATGGTGGGGGGTGCAGGAGTCAGAGTTGGAGTGTATGAGGGGCTCAGAGCAGGGGGTTCAGGTATGGGGGATTATAAGGGCAGGGCAAAAGGCTGAGGGTGTGTGGGGGAGGTTGATTAACTTACCTGGCTGGCATTGGGCCATTGCAGCCAATTTCACGTCCATTCCTACCCCCCTTGCACTCCTCCAGAGAGGAGCTGGGGCCAGGCTGCCATGGACAGATGGGGCTGCTGCCAGCCCCTCCCACAGCAGATCTGGAGCAGACCGTGGGGCCTACCCCAGCGCTGGGGGGAGCGCC